GAAGGCGCTCGGGAAAGGTAGAGAGGGGCGAGAGGGAAGGGCCCGATCTGCAGGAAGGGGCTGGCGGGGGACGGCGGCCTGTGTGTTCGGGGAACTGGGGGATTCCCCTGCCGGGGAGCCTGCGGGTGGGCGAGGATTTGCCGCATGGCTACGCGCTGGCTGGAAGACGGTGTCAGAACACGCGGAGCTGCATCAGTGTGGCCGGGCCACCCCCTCCCAGCCACGTGAACGTGGGCAAGTTGTTCAGTCCTCCTCGAGCTCATTTGACATCGCTGTTAAACAGTACTCCGGTTTTGTCATCAAAGAGGGACATGAAAGGGTCTTCCGGGCTTCTGGGGCCAGGTCTAAGCCATATGAAAACCGCTATTTTATCTTAAAACTTTTCATTCAACCATAAAAATGTGTATGTTTCTCGTAAATACATGTTTTCTGAAAAACATCTCAGTAAAATGGACACTCCAGGAAGATGTTTGCTGACTCAGAACTTGGAATCTGAGGTCAAAATGAAGAGTTCTTTTTAACAAGGGACTTACCTTCTCTGAACTTGTCTTCTCATGTGTAAAGCAGAGATAGAGTATCTAACTCACAGGGTGGTTGTGAGGATTAAATGAGGTGATGTTTGTAAATCACTCAGCATGATGTCTGAGAGGTAGTGACTACTCAAAGAAAGTATTACCTGTTATCATCCTCATTCCAAACATTGAGAATAAGGGGCCAGTCGCATAGCCTAGAGGTTAGGGGAGCCAGGTCCCACATGGCCAAGCATTACTTGAATCCTAGACCTGGCAGCTTGAAAAACACTCTAGGCCTGTGGAAGGGATTGTGTCATGACCACACCCCACTGAAGGGCGTTTTCTCTGTGTCTGGTGAGCACACCTGCCCTCTGGCAATTGAAAAAAAAATCAGAATGAATCTTGGGGCTGGACAATAGTACAACAGTAACTGCAAAGGCAACCCACGTGGGAAGGTTCCCGGTTTGCATCCAGAGACCTCCCTGAGTACCCTAGTGCCCATGATCTGGGACTGGCTGAGGATAGGGGTGGGCTGCAGCATCAAAACTCCTGCTAGGGGTGCTGTCTCTGTCTCTCTGGCTCATGGAAGAGATAAGTAGATGAAGAAGAAGAATCGGGACCAGCAGTTAGTGTAATGGCTATGTCGCTGGACTCCCACGTAGTCGACTGCGGTTCAAGTCCAGGACCCAGTGGCTTAAACTCACGCCAGGTGCGTGTGTGCGTGCCCAAGATCCTGAGAGGAGAATGGAGGAGAGGGGACTGCAATGTGGCCATCCCCCCGGGGGGGTGATTTCTTGCTTTCTGTCTCTCTGTTTCTCTCTGTCTTTCTGGCGAGTGCACGCACCCTATAGCAAAAACCTCTAAAGAAAAAAAAAAGAGGAATACATGGATCGAAGCAGAGTTATTTTAAAGCTAACCCCTTTTGAGATCAGGAACCTTCCTTGAAAATCTGAGTAAAGCTATAGGCTTCTCTAACGAGGGGGGAAAATGTAAACAGATACAAAATTCCATTTATTCCTTAAAGTGGCTGAAGATCGTATGAAGGAGTGATCAGGTGAATGTGTCGGGATGGGGATGAGCCCCGGCTGAAGCCATCTCGTTCCTCCCTCTTGGTGTGGTCCCGGCCCTGGGTACCCCATCTTCCTCTCCAAGACCCATGAAACAGGTGGAGTAAAGATCAGCTTTATTATTGGCATGAAGGCGGGGAGGCGGCAATGGTGCCAGCCCTTCTGCGGGTGAGGGGTGGAGGGCGCACCAGCCAGCACCGATCCTCCAAGCTGGCTCTCCCAGTGAGGGCCGGGGCTCCAGGTGCCTCTGGCTTTCTCAGCAGCAGCAGCAGCAGCAGCGGGTGAGCAGGCGAGCAGACTGCGGGGCGTTGGCTACATGGACTCCTCAGGGCTGCTCTGGAGCTGGGGTCGGGCTGGACTTGGCAGCGGGTGGGGGCCGAGGCTGGATGTCCCTGGTGCGCATGTAGGACAGCAGCTGTTCTGGGATCTCAGCCAGCACGTCCTTGGCCAGGCGGGCCATGCTCAGCACCTGGTTCCCCGACCGGTCCACGTAGTCTCGGAATGGCACGAACTGGGACAGGCACAGATAGGCAGCTGTGGGCCGTGGCCAGGAGAGTGCGGGGCAGGAGAAGAAGGGCTTTTTTGAGCCCCTGCATCTCTTTCCAAAGCCCCAATGCTAAATCAGCCCAGTGGGCCTCACGGTGCTTGACGTAACCTCTTTAGCTTTCCGTTCTGTGTGACACTCCGGGACACATCCCACTCTTGCCGCCATACTCTTCTGGGTATCTCTGGCCTTTCTGGAAGCTCCTTCCCCACCTCCTATTCCTCTGGTGTACCCGCTCTCTAAACCTGGTCCCTCCTGTCTCTCAACTCTCCTTCTTGGTGATTATTATTAAATTAAATTTGCTACAGGGCACATGTGCTTATCAGAGAGACACAGGGAGAGAGAGAGAGGGAAAGTGAGAAAGCTAGTCACCAGGTCCAGGACCCGAACCATGGTCAGCCATGTGGGAGTCCAGTGCCTAACTACTACATCACCTGCCGGTCCCCCTTCTCGGTGATTTTCTACACTTTCATGACTTTAAAACTGTTCCCTGGAGGTCCCGGGTAGGGGAAGGAGAGGGACTTGGAAGGAGGCAAGGCCGAGGAAAAAAGGGGCAGGAACCAGGGAGAAGGGGCACCGGGAGGGGTGGGGGCCCAGGAGAGGGGCTGATAAGAGGAGAGAGAAGAATAAAAGAAAAAGAAGGACAAGAACCATCTCCTGATGACTCCCACACTTACATATCCATCCCTGACCTCTTTATTAAGGTCCCCAAACACACACTGAGTTGCCCGTGCGACCTTCCGTCAGCTGTCACGGGTACCTCAACCCAGTGTGTTCACACCAAATTCTGGCTCTGGCAGGCAAATCTCCCTGGCTTTCTCCTTCCCAGTACATGAGACCGTCACTCAGTTGCTCAGGCCAGAAAACTGAGTCATCTTGGGAGCCTCCCTCACTCCCCATCCCAGAATAATCACATCATCAAGTCTTATAACAGTTTCTTCTAAGTATCTTTCGAATTGTTACTTCTCTGCACTCCCCTTCCCTCCTCCTCCAGATCCTTAATCTTACTGCCCTCTTCTCTTCAGAGGCTTCCTCACCAATCATCTTCCTGCCTCCTCTCCCGCCTGCTGTGGGCCACCCTCCAAGTAGCAAGCAGATCTTTTTTCTTTCTCTCTATCTTTTTCTTTCTTTCTCTCTCTCTCTCTCCTTCCTTTTTTTTTTTAGAGATTTTTGCTATAGGGTGTTTGCACTCACTGGAGAGACAGAGACAGTGAGAGGGAAAGTGAGAAATCCCCCCCTAGGGGGATGGCCATGCCACAATCCCTCCACTCTCCTCCCAGGATCTTGGGCATGCACACACACGATGTTATCTCCATCTCTGGATCCAGAACTTGAACTAGGGTCAGCCACGTGGGAGTCCAGCGACACAACCACGGTACCATCAGCTGGCCCCACAAACAGATCTTTTAAACAGCCAGTCTGACCACCTCACCCCTCCCCTACGTAAAATCTTCCAAGAGCTTTCCAACGTGCTTAGAACCAGACCCCAAATCTCCGCCATGTCCAGCGAGGCTCGGGCTCCCCCTTGCTCAGTGTGATCCTGGCTCCTGCCCTCGGCTCGATCAGGCCAGTTTGGAGCCACGGGGCTCCTTTGACACGGTGTTCCTCTGCCTGTCAGCTTACACCTTCCTGTAGGTCTCAGCTCAAACGTCGTTTCATGAAAGCCGCCCCTGACTGCCGGACCCATCCGGTCCTGTGGTCTAGGCCCCCACAGGGGCATTTGCTGTTCCTCCAGAGCACGTGTTCCCATCTAATGGGCCGTGTGCTGTGTGCTTGTGTGTTACTGGCTGCCTCCACTACACAGCGGGGACCTGGGGGAGCCCCGCTGCATGGAACTACCTAGGCCGCAGCCAACTCTGGTCAGAACACATGAAGGAGCCAGGGTGGAGGGGCGAGGGCAGCCTGGGAGGCTGAGACGGCAGTAAGGGGTGACTCCCTTCCCCGCCGTGCTCAGTTGCACAGGCTTCCCGGGGAAGGTCTACCTGGACGATGTCCCGCTCCGCGTAGCGTCCCCGAGATGACACACGCACATCGTCACCGTCCAACTCTTCCATCGCTGCAGAAGAGACACCCCTCAGCCGATGGCCTGGCCAGGCCCCCCACGCTGCCCCCTACCTCAGCTTCCTTTTGGAGTAATCCCAAGAACACCCGGTGGTTACGGGAAATCCTACAGACCTTAGACCTTGGTAGGGAGTCATCACGCCCCCACACTCCATTCCACCCTCCCAGGGATCCCGGGAAGCATATCAGTAGTACCGGCCTTCGTTGTGATGGGGAAACGGGTTCAGAGAAGGTCTGAACTTAGCAGAGGTCCCAGCGGGGGATCCATCCTGCCTTTTCTGTGAGGCAGGCCTCCCCCATTATTAGTCCCACTCGTAGCCCTCATCCTGCTCACCCTCAAACATGGCTGGTCCCACTCCGACAATAATGATAGACATGGGCAGGGAGGACGCCTGTGGGAAGAGAGCATGAGCAGTTGGGGCAGGCGGCCGGAACCAGGGAGGTGACACTGAGAGACGTGTGTATGTGTGTACACGTGCATGCATGTGTGCACGTCTGTATGTGCATGTGTGTGTGTACATGTGTGTATGTGTCTGTGTGTGTGTGTGTGTGTGTGTGTGAGAGAGATGTTGCTGCATCCCTTGCGAACAGAGGCACCAATTCTCTTTGTTTCAGACTGTTTTCTTCAAGAATGTTTATATCATCCGGCCTTGAAAGCAGAGGGCAACTCTTTTACTGTCTAGTATACTTTTTTGTTTGTTTTTCTTTTTTTGGAGAGGTTTTTGCTACAGGGTGCTTGTGCTTGCCAGAGAGACAGACAGAGAGACAGAGAGACAGAAAGCGAGAAATCACCCCCCATGGGGGATGGCCACGCCACAATTCCTTCTCCTCCATTCTCCTCTCAGGATCTTGGGCACATACGCACACATGCCCGGCGTGAGTTTAAGCTGCCGGGTCCAGGACTTGAACTGTGGTCGACTACATGGGAGTCCAGTGACATAGCCATTACACTAACTGCTGGCCCCCTGTCTAGTATACTTTTAAAAAGGACTCCCACTGGAACAAAGAGCAGGCTTGCTTACTGCCCAGTATAAAAGATTCAGGTTCCTTTTTATTATTTTTTAATTTGCTATGGGTTGCATGCACTCACTGGGAGGAGAGACAGAGTGGGAGGCAGAGAGAAATCATTCCCCAGGGGGATGGCCATGCTGCAATCCCGTCTCCTCCACTCTCCTCTCAGGATTTCTGGCACACATGCACATGCAGCCTGTGTGTTTTTCGAGCTGCTGGGTCCAAGATTCAAACTGTGCAGTCGGCCATGTAGGATCTCACTGCCTTAACCATCAGGCCACTTGGCTGACCCCAAAGATGCAGGTCCCTCAAGCTCAGGACTCCTCTCCTGTCATGCAGCCCCCAGTGAGTGCAGGTGTCCTCCGATTCTCCTGACATCATCCTGTGAGAGCTGGAACTCAGAGACTCAGCAAATGCTGATAAACCAGCTGCTGGCTTTGCTGGGAATAAAACACTCTTTGTAACCCAGGAGTCGTGTCTTCTGCCAACATCCTTGACACCGGCAGGCTAACGTGTCAGCGCACAGCAGGGTAACACATCGGCCCCTCCCCTCGCAGTGCCGACAGCGACCCCTCCCTGCCAAGCCGCCCCCCCGCAGACTCACGCTGACGATGGCCTCCTTGGTCTGCGTCATGTCGGATATGACCCCATCGGTGATGATGAGCAGGACGTAGTACTGAGAGCCGTCGGAGATCTTGGCGGCAGCCCTGGAGGAGAGGCCAGGAGCAGAATCCAGCTGAGAACCCGCGAGGCCCAGGGAGCCCCCGACCCCATGCTTCTGCAGCCAGTGTGTGAGCACTGGGCGAGAAATGGGGTTTCTACAGTCCCTGCTCCCTCACCAGACCTGGGGCCTGCCCCTGCCTGCATCCCTCCAGAAATGCATGGAAGACACACAAAGTGGGGAAAATCCACGCAGACCCTCCGGAGGGAGGCAGATGTTAATCCGAGAATCGAGAATCGCACAGAGGTGAGACTACCACTGGGGTGAGTGCTGTGAAGGGAGGGGACGCTGCCGTGGCAGTGGGCCTGACCTGGTGCAGACCCAGTGAGGGCTCCTTTAAGGAAGCAGTGTTGGAGGATGGGGGAGAAACTAAGTGAAGGAGGGGACTGTTCCAGGCAGAGCCAGCAGGGACAGAGGCCCTGTGGTTGGGCAGCAGGAAGCCCACCATACCCAGAGGTCACAGGTGAGGGGAGCAGAGTGGACTATGTGGCTGACGGGGTACAGAAGCCAGGTCACATGGGGCTGTCAATCCCTGGGAAGATTTTGATGTTATAAAAGAGCAAGAGCAAAGGCTGAGGCTTCCTTCCTTCCTTGTCTCACCCATTTCTTCGCTCTCCCTTCTACCCTCTGCTGACTGCATTCCAGCACCTGGGCTGCAGGCTCCCCTAATGTGTCCCCCAGCAGGTCGACCTGCTCCCAGAGCTCCTTTCCCTCCCTCAACATCAGTGTTTGAATCCACAGTTTTTTCCATCTGGAAAGGACTTCAGAAGAGTCCAGTCCCCTTATTTTACACATGAGGAAAAACAAGGCCTGGAGAGGACATGAAAGCAGGGTGGACCCTGGACTCTGGACTTCCGGTCTTAAACCTTGGGTGAACTGGGAAGGGCAGAGCAGAGCCACCCAGTAAGGTAGCTTAACCACGTCTGGCTGCCCCAGTTTAAAGGAAACATTCAGTTCCTTGGCCCAGCCCAGGTGGTGCAGCCCACGTCCTGCCAGTCTGCAGTGCTGGAAGCCCCGTGACTGATCTGGGTCTGCATCCTTGCCAAGTGCACATACAGATGCCCAAGATCCTGAGGACCGGGGACCAGCAGTTGGCGTAATGGCTGTGTCGCTGGACTCCCATGTAGTCGACTGCGGTCTGAGTCCTGGACCTGGTGGCTTAAACTCATGCCAGGTGCGTGTGTGTGCGTGCCCAAGATCCCAAGAAGAGAATGGAGGAGAAGGGATTGCTGTGTGGCCACTCCCCTGGGGGGTGATTTCTCGCTTTCTGTCTCTTTCTGGCAAACGCACGCACCCTATAACAAAAAACTCTCCAAAAAAAAAAAATGCTGCTCTCTTTTTCACATAGACATTCTCTATCATAAAATAAATGTTATTTTTACCATTCAGCTCCTTGATTACTATAGCTATCTTTCAAGTACTCACTATCCACGTACATGTGGCTGGTGAAGACCATACTGGACTGAACAGATACAGAACAGTCGTGTCATTGTAAAGAGCTATATTGGATAGTGCTGTGCTTTTTTGTTTTTGTTTTCTTTTTTTTTTTTGGAGAGGTTTTCACTATAGGGCATGTGCGCTTGCCAGACAGAGAGAGACATAGAGACAGAAGGTGAGAAATCACCCCCCAGGGGGGATGGTCACGCCGCAATCCCTTCTCCTCCATTCTCCTCTTGGGATCTTGGGCACGCACGCACACGCGCCCGGCGTGAGTTCTAAGCCACTGGGTCTGGGACGCGAACCGCGGTCGACTATGTGGGAGTCCAGCGATATAGCCATTATGCTAACTGCTGGTCCCCTTGTTTTCTTTTTTTAGTTTGCTATAGTGCACGTGTGCTTGCCCGAGAAAGACAGAGGGGGAGAGAGGGAAAGCGAGAAATCACTCCCCAGGGGGATGACCATGCCACCATCCCTTAACATGCCCTCTTCCCTTGCCATCAGTTGGCCATGTGGGATCAGCCATCTTAGCCACCGTGCCACCTGACTGGCCCAGTACTTGTGTTTGAGCCTGATTTCAAAAAGTCAAATGAGCAGCCAGTAGGTCGCTTTGGTGGTTAAGGTGCTGGACCTCCATGTGGTTGACGATGGTGTGAGCCCTGGACTTGGAGGCCTGAAAACCACACTGGTTACGCATGCACATGTGGCCAAAGTCCCAAGAAGAGAATGGAGAAGGGATTGCTGTGTGGCCATCCTTCCTGGAAAGTGAGTTTTCACATTTCCTCACTGTCTCTCTCCAGAAGTACATGTACCCTATAGCAAAAACATTAAAAAGTTAAAAAAAAAAAAAAAAAGAAAAAATACAACCAACAGTTGTCGACCAGCAGTTGGCCTAATGGTTATGTTGCTGAACTCCCATGTAGTCGATCACGGGTCGAGTCTCAGACCTAGTGGCTTAAATTCACACTGGGCGCGTGTGTGTGCATCCCCAAGATCCTGAGAGGACAATGGAGGAGAAGGGATTGCGGCGTGGCCATCCCCCCTGGGGGTGATTTCTTGCTTTCTGTCTCTCTGTTTCTCTCTGGCAAGCACACGCGCCCTATAGCAAAAACCTCTCCAAAAAGAAAAAAAAGATTCGAGTCTGGTGAAAATGCAGAATTCACGTAATTCTGGCTCAGCTTGCTGAGGGCCCAGGATGGGAATGGACTGTGATCCCCTTAGCAGACCCTTCCCCTTCTGAATTCTGGCCCCAGTCACCTCATGGGCCTGGCCTGGTACGTCCTCCTGCTCATTTCTCAGCAGTCACTGCATGCCTGCCTGTGAGGTACAAGCTGGGTGCTGGGCATGCAGCAGAGAAAGGGATGCTGTCCTAGAGGGGAGAGGAGCTTTGCTAACATGCGCTTACGGCTGAAACCTGAGCCCTGAGAAATGAGTGGGATTGGTGTCAGCAAGTGGCGTGATGGTTAAAGTGCTAGACTTGCATGGACCTTGTCCCAGTCCTGGTAGCTTAAGATCGCACTGAGTAGGTGTGCGTGCATGACCAAAACCCCCAAGAGGAGAATGGAGGAGACGGGACTGCAGCATGGCCATCCCCTTTCGGGAATGATCGCTCACTTTCCCCCTCACTGTCGCTCTGTCTCTCCCCAGCAAGTGCACACACCCTAGAGGGAAAAAAAAAGAGTGGGGTTTAGCCAGGTGATGGTGGAGGAAGGGTGGGCTGGCAGGGGCGGGGAGGTAAAGGGAATGGCAGGTACAAACCAACAGAGTGTACAAAGGGACTTCAAAAAGTTCATGAAAAACTTAGGATCGGGGGGATGAGTTTATTTTGGTACAACATTTTTGCACTCCATGCGAAGTTTTTTCACAGTACACACTTCCCACCAACTTTTTGAAGCCCCGTCACGTATTCTAGGAGTCACATGTAGATGAGGAGAGATGAGGCTGAGGTGAGTGGGGGCGGCTTGCACGCATTTGCAAGCTGGAGGCAGCGGGCGTCACGGAAGGGTCTAGGGGCCCAGGAGGCGCCTCTTCAGTTCCCTGTCGATGCCTCGCGTTCCCAAGGCCCTTTGGTCTGGGAGCAGCTGAGACGGGTGGGGGGCCCGCGGGAGGCCAGCCGCCCACTCAGCCGTTGCTGACTCCCTGGGGTCATCAAAATCACAGGTGCACGCTGGACAGATGTGACCTAATTTGTCCCTCGTGACTTTTCTGTGAGGGAGGCACTTTTTCTTTTCTTTTCTTTTTTTTTTTATTTACAGAGGGCTCGTGGTCAGAGACACCGAGAGTGAGGGAGACACACACACAGAGAAAAAAGTGAGAGAGCACCCCCTCCATGGGGAACGGTCATGCTGCAACCCCCTTCTCCTCTAGCTCTCCCTCCTGTGGGGATTTCAGCACCCCGTGTGTTTTTTCGAATCACTGGGCCTGGGACTTGAACTGTGCAGTTAGCCTTTCCCCTTTGGCCACCTTTACCACCACGCCACTGGCTGGCCCTACTCCAATTTTTAAAATGAGGAAATGCAGTGCTGAAACACTGCGTCGTACCCCCAAGGGGTGGGGAAGCTGGGATCCAAGCCCAGACTTGACCAGCTGGGCCTCAAGCCCTCCGAGCTCTGATCCCATCGCTCTCCACTGGCCCCGCTCTCTGGGCGTTCTTCCACACACACAGCGACCCTGGCCACCGAAACTGCCCACGGTTTCCCGACCTTGCCGCTCGTCCGTCTGCTTCCACACGCCGTCCTCGCTACCTGTCCACTCTGCCCTTCATTCTCTGGTAAGTCCAGCTTGCCCTGTAGACCTGGCCGAGCAGTCCCCTCTGGGGCAGGCCTCTGTCCCCCCCCATCCCCCAGTCTCCCTCCATCTGCTAGCCTACGGCCCCGCCCAGCAAGGTGGGCTGTCTGCTCCTCTAAAGTGGGTCCTCATACCCTGAGGGTACCCCCAGAGGGTCCCCCAGCATACAGGGTATCTCCGTCCTCCTACATGATCTGATGGCTCCAGCTAGATGACTGCAAATACATTTAAAACACCTTTTTCCCCCTAAGCGAAAGCAAACAGGGACACCAATGTGAGAAGAATAGACACTTGGCATGCATCTTTAGGATGAAATATGGAGACTTCAGAGGCAGTCTCGGTCTCGCCGCTCTCTGTCATGCCCTGATTCTCCCAGGAGGATGCAGTCCCTTGCCTCTGCTGACGGGCGACCTGCTAGAGAAGCCTGGGAAGCTCTGGCCTCCGGAAGGCCATGATTGATTTATTTCTGTCTCCTGCACCAAGCCGGGAGTTCCCAAGGGCAGGAACTAGATCCGATTCATCTGTGGGTCTCCAGTGCCCCAGCAGAGAGCTGAGCACACAACGGATGCCCTCCGACTAGTAGTAATGGCAGTAACAGCCCCATCACAGCCGACACCTAAGAGTGCTAGGGGTGCGCGGGGGCATCCTAAGTGTTCGACCTACATAAGCCACGCTCACAACACCCCATCCTCATTTTACCAGTGAGGAGCCAGGACAGAGGTTACGGGTCTTCACCAAAGCCACACAGCTAGTGGCTGACAGAGCTACTGTGCGAACTTCGCTGGGTCTGGCGGCGGGGCCCAGCCTCGCAGCACACTGCCCTTTCTAAGTGTTCACTAAATGAGTGACTAAACGGATCGCTGCAGTTGCCCACGATGATATTTAAGAAGTCTGTGTAATAACAACAGAAATGTACTCTAACTGCAATATCAGTGTAAAAATCAGCAGTGACATGGTCGAGGTGACTTGACGGCCGGTCTGAGTACGTACGGGAGAGGCTGCGGAGAGCGGCCACGTTCCCACGGGCAGTACCGGGCGGTCTCTTATCGCCGTGCTCTGTCTTTGACGTGCTCCACAGCGCTATTACGTCACCTTTTTATTTACGCATCCACTGGACAGAGACAGAGGAGGGGAGTGGAAAAGTACACCCACCACGGGACAGTCAAGCTTCAATCCCTTCTCCTCCATCACCTTTTGTTTTTTTTTTTTTTGAAAGAGATGTTTGCTATAGGGTGTGTGCACTCACCAGAGAGACAGAAAGCAAAAAATCACCCCCCAGGAGGGATGGCCATGCTGTAATCCCCTCTCCCCCATTTTCCTCTCGGGATCTTGGGCATGCATACACACACGCCCAGCCTGAGTTGCAAGCTACCGGGTCCTAGACTTGAATCACATGGGAGTCCAGTACCTCTACGTCACCTGCTGGTCCCCCTTTTGGGATTCTGGGCATGGATACATACGTGCCTGGCCTGAGTTTTAAGCCGCTGGATTTGGGACTCGAACCACAGTTGGCTATGTGGGAGTCCAGCACCTTAACCACCATGCCACCTGCTGGCCCTCGTTGTTATATGATTTTTAACCTCACTATAGCTAATAAAGAAGCTGCTATTGCCATCCGTTATTACCCTGCCTTACGGCAATGAAATAGAGGTTTAAAGAGGCTAGGTTGGTTAAGGGGACATGGTTAGTGAGTAGTGGAGCTGGCGTCACACCCTGGTCTGATGCTGAGGCTTACGCCTTCAGCACTGTGTTACCAGCGCTTCCCTCTCTTATCCAAACGCAAGGCCTAGGTTGTCATTCCCAGGGAGCGGGTTTGCGGTAGTTTGTTGAATCCCTCTTTGCCCTACAATAAGGTATTATGTGACCTCTTTGTAGCAGTTTTGCCAACACTGAACCTTTCCCCTTCTCTCCAAAGGCCAAGCAGATCCGAGAGGGGCCCTGACTGTCCCTGGGGAGTCAGTTCCCAGTTTGGGTCTCCACACCTTCCCACCCCTGTGCACCCTTACCTGGCCACCTGGTTGATGACAGGAGCAAAGTAGGTAGGTCCGTAGAGCTGCACGGTGCGCAGGCTCTGGAAGTAGCTCTCCAGCACACCCTCGATGCCCGCACAGTTGGGGTCCTCATCATTGTTGTTCTGTCAAAGAAGATGCCTTGCCAGGCTCAGCCCAGCCGGGACACACCCAGGGCAGTGCTCTGATCCTGGCTGCCTCCTTCCTCTTTCCATCAGGCCCTTTCATGCTCCCCTACAAACCCAGCCCTGCCCCGCTCTTTGCTCAGAGCTTCTTCATCTTCTGCAGGCCCTTGCCTTTCAAGAAATGGAAATACAAGAAATTCATCGACTTGGGTGGGCCAGAGGCCAGGGCACAGAGAGTAGCTCTGGCCCGTACCTACCAGGGGGAACTGGTGGGAGATCCGTCCCTCTGGGGGCAGTTTGGCCCCGAAGCCATACGCTGGGAAGAGCTTGTCACTGTCGTAGTCCTGGATGATCTCTCCCACTGCCTTCAGGGCCATGGCATAGGCGCTGAGCTGGTAGGGACTCATGTAGTGCAGGGAGGTAGGCTGCAGGGGGTTCCCTGTAGGGACACAGGAGTGCCGGTCTCATGGTCACCTCGATCATCCATGTGTTCACCTGCTTATCCTTGTATGCATCCACCCATGTATTGATTTACCCACGCCTCCCAAGTCATCCCTCATTATTGTACCCAATCACCTGTCTGCTATTTATCCATCTCTCCACCTACCCATCTCCATATATTTCCATCCATTTGTTTACCTACCCCTAGACCCACCCACCCACTCATCTACTTGGCCATAAGTCTATCTTTCAATAGATTTTAATGTGTTTATCCATCGATAAATGGATCATTGTTTTTTTTGTTTTGTTTTGTTTGAGAGGTTTTTCGCTATAGAGTGCGTGCGCTCGCCAGACAGACAGAGAGAGACATAGAGACAGAAAGCGAGAAATCACATCAC